CATACGTATATGGGTAATTGTTCAGGAACTGAGTACGTGCAAGTGTAGCTGTTAGGTCCTTGGTTCCCAGGGGAGGAGGGGAAGCACTATGGCACAGAGGCTGAGAGGATTCAGAATTGTCAAAAATGGCTTCAGGATTGTCTTAAAGTCTTACACTCAGAACCTGAGAAAAGGTGGAAGGAGATTTCAGGCTCTACAAAGTTGTCTGATGACTCCAAAACAGTTCCCTTTTCTTTTTTTGGTTTTTCGTGACAAGGTTTCTTTGTGTAACAGCCATAGTTGTCCTGGAACTAGCTTTGTAGAGGAAGAGGAATCAAACTCACAGAGAGATCTGCCTGCCTCTGCCAAGTACTGGGATTAAAAGTGTGCGCTACCATTGCCTGGCTACAATTTTTTTTAAGGCAAAAGAAATAGGAATGAGTGGGTAGTTGGAAAAGATACATCAATGAGTCTAAACGATAGGGAAGCACTAATCTCTAAACTCAAGAAAGCCCATAGATAGTTTCTGTCTCCCTTCTGTTTCCTCCTGACCCTCGTCTTCCCAAATGTGCCTCGCATGCTGGAAGTACTCCACGATACAACGTTCCTTCCCCCATCCCCCCATCTCTTACCTTAATCGCTATGTTGTTGGACTCAGTTGCTCCACTAGTAAAAATGATCTCTCGAGGATCGGCTCCGATCAGAGATGCTACTTGCTGTAAACCAAGAGCCAAAGATACACAGCATGAGTCACAGGGCAGGAGTGGGGCTGCAGACACAGCTAGAACTGGGTTCTGCAGCAGCCTTCTACTGCCTGCATTCCACCTGCCGACCAGGTCTGATGCGGGCTGAAGAAGGGACTGTTACAGCTCCAGTATGCTAGCCTTTCTCCATTCTAGGACAGGCTTGTGAGAATGCCAAATGTAGCTCAGGCGGTAGAGTGCTTGCTTGAGATTTATGAAGCCCTGGGCTCATTCCCAGTGCTGCATATACCAGGTATGATGGTGCACACCTGAAATCCCAGCACTCAGGAAGCTGAGGTAAGACAGCGGCCTTAGTTTGAGGCGAGCCTGGAACACACAGTGAGGTCCAAGCTGTCTTAGACTAGAGTGTGAAACTGATCTTAAACAACCAAAGTAGGGAGCCAGTGAGGTGGATCAGTGGGTAAAGATCCTGCTGCAGAACCTGGCAACCCAGGTTTCCTGCCCCGATAGCCACAGAGGAAGAAGAAAGTCTGCTCCACGTTGCCCTCTGGCCTCCACACTACATACTTTGGTACATATGTGTACACATACATGCACCCAAGCAAGCACAAAAATGCATACATACACATTTGTAACTTTAAAAAAAATATTTTTTTGCCAGGTGGTAGTGGCACATGTCCTTAATCTTTTTTTTTTTTTTTTTTTTTTTTTTTTTTGGTTTTTCGAGACAGGGTTTCTCTGTGGTTTTGGAGCCTGCCCTGGAACTAGCTCTTGTAGACCAGGCTGGTCTCAAACTCACAGAGATCCGCCTGCCTCTGCCTCCCAAGTGCTGGGATTAAAGGCATGCACCACCACCGCCAGGCACATGTCCTTAATCTAATCCCAGCACTCAGGAGGCAGAGGCAGGCTGATCTCTATGAGTTTGAGGCCAGTCTGATCTACAGAGTAAGTTCCAGGGCAGTCAAGACTATGCAAAGAAACTCTGTCTCAAAAAACAAAACAGCTGGGTAGTGGTGGTGCATGCTTTTAATCCCAGCACTTGTGAGGTAGAAGCAGGAGAATCTCTGAGTTCAAGGCCAGCCTGGTCTATAGAGCAAGTTCTAGGACAGGCTCAAAAGCTACACAGAGAAAAAAAAAAAAACCCAAAAACAAAAAAATTTCTGCTTGGTGTGATGGCACACATCCTTTAATCCCAGCACTCCGGAGGCAGAGGCATGTGGATCCCTGTAAGTATGAGATTTAAGGCCAGCCTGGACTACAGAGTGAGTTCCAGGACAGCCAGAGCTATTACACAAATCCTATTACAAAAAAACCCAAAAACAAAACCAACAAAAAAATTCGAACAAAATGTCAAGTAAGGAACTGGAAAAAATGGCCCAGGCATCAAGTCACTTGCCGCTCTCACAGAGGACCCAGTTTCAGTTCCCAGCATCCATATGGTGGCTCCCAATCATCGTTAACTTACAGTTCCCAGGGATCTGACAGCCTCCACTGGCCTTTTCAGGTACCAGGTTCATACATAGTACAAACACACACATACACAAGCAAAACATCCATATGCATGAATGAAAAAATAAATATTTTTAATAGTAAATTTTGTTTTTAAATAATTTTTTTCATTTATTTTTGGTTTGGGACATTAATGCCACAGTATGTGGGTTTTGGGGGATCAAACTTAAGTCACCAGGTTAAGGTACCTATGCAGGCATCACACTGTCCCAAGAAATGTATTCTTTTTGTTTTTTTGTTTTGTTTTCTTTTTTGAGACAGGTTTCCCAGTAGCTATGGGGTCAGTCCTGGAATTCATTCTGTAGACCAGGCTAGCCTCGAACTCACAGAGATCCGCCTCTCTCCGCTTTCCAAATGCTGGGATTAAAGGCATGTGCCACCACCGCCGGGCTATGAAATGCATTTTAAAAATGTATTTACTGAATTAAGTACTTTTTGAGCTACGTGATAGCTGTTAACTTTTACCACCACTGGCTCATGTAATTTACCCAATAACCTTACAAGTATGAACCATTTCACTTTCCGCTTGCTAGGTGAGAATCTCAAGGCTTAGAGAAATGAGGTGATTTGCCTGAGGTTCTTCACCTAGTGCATGAGAAGTAATCAAACACCTGCAATCAAACTCTCAGAAACAAAACCATTTCCTAAGAAAGAATGCCTCCCACAGGCCACCGAACCTGACTCCCAAACGCCTCAGAGTCCTTTGTGCTAACCTGGCGAGCATGTTCCATGGCTGCCTCACTCTCCCAGCCATACGCATGAGTCCGAGAGTGTGGGTTCCCGTAGTAGTTCACAAGGTATGGGAGCATGGCATCAAGTACCCTGGGGTCCTGAATACAAGAGAACCGGTCAGTCTTCTTGAGCCCATAGTGAACTCAGAACCTACGGTATCCACTGATTGCCCACCTCGCTCGGTATGTTTCCAGTCTGTGGATGCTGCCTGCCTTCTTCCCCGTCCCACATACGAATTAAGTATTGACCTGAAATACCCCCACTTCAAAACCACCTGAAATCCCACTGCTCTACCAATCCCTCTAGCAGTTTACAAACACTGTCTTTAATTTTTCTTCTATTTATTGATTGAAAGACAGGGTCTTATGCAGTTGTAATCTTGCTGCTGGGTATGGTGGTGCAGGCCTTTAATCCCAAAGGCTGGGCGCATGATGAGCAAGTGCTCTGCCACTTATATTCCCATCCCACCCAGTCCTGTTCTTAGAACTGTTGCTACAGATGATGCCATTCCTGCCACGAAATGAGTTACAAAGGGCTGTGACTTGCCAGTGTGGTAGCATAGGCAACAGGATCTCTGTGAGTTCGAAGTGAGCCTGATCTACAAAGGGAATTCAAGGGAAGTCAGGACTGCACAGTGAGACACTGTCTTGTCTGTTTGTTTGAGACAGGGTTTCTCTGTATGACAGCCCTAGCTGACTTGGAACGTGCTTTGTAGACCAGGTTGACATTGAAGAGACCTTGTCTTAAAAAAATAAATAAATCATGGCGCCTTTCAACCCTGCATTTGTGAGGCAGAGGCAGGCAGATCTCTGAGTCCAGCCTGGTCCATAGATCAAGCTCTAGGACAGACAAGGCTACACAGAGAAATCCTATGTCAGAAAATAATAAATAGATAAATAAAGCCAGTGTTGGCATTTGATGGAATCAGGCAAACATCCTTCTGCACACATGGATGAAAATTTGTATTCATAATGGAATTGGGCTAGATGTAGTGGCACATGCCTTTAATTCTGGCACTCAGAAGACAGAGGCAGAACTGTGAGTTCAAGACCAGCCTGGTCTATAAAGTGAGTTCCAGGACAGCCAGAGCTGTTATAAAAAACCAAAACCAAAACCAAAAAAAACCCAAAACAACAACAACAACAACAAAAATAAAACTAAACAAAAAACCCAACCAAACCAAAAAAGGGACTGGGCCATAGCTAGCAGGATATCTACTTAGCAGCAAATTACTAGGTTGTTTTTTTTTTTTTAAACAAGAGTCTCAGATTCAAGAGAGATAGCTGAGAAACCACTTAACTATGGCTGCTCTTCCAGAGGACCCAGGTTCAGTTTCTACCATTAACATGGCAGCTCACAAGGGCCTATATAACTATAGTTCTAGGGGATCCAACACCCTCTTCTGACTTCCATAGTCACTGCATACATGCAGCACACAAACGTAGGCACTTACTTGTAAGATAAAAGAAATAAATAAATGGGATCTCGTGGATTCCTGACTAGTCTCGGACTGATGAGGTAGCCAAAAATGACCTAAGAGTCTAATGGTCCTGCCTTTGCCTCCCTAGGGCTGGGATTATAGTAATTCAGTTTTAGGTGGTGCTGGGGATTGAACGCAGGGCTTCCTGCATTCCAGGCAAGTACTCTACCACCTGAGAGACAGATCCAGCTCAGTAACTTTTATTTCATGCTTACCATGTGTTAGACTAGTATATGTTTTCAGTTCACTTAACACTTGACCAAATTCACAGTTATTACATGGTAGTCCTGCTAATTCCAGAGCCGATGTGTGTGTGTGTCTGCTTTCTTTTTTCTTTCCTGCTTCCTCCTTTCCTTTTTACTTTTACATAGGTTTGAGCTCTCTAAGTGGTCTGGGTGCCACAAGGTCCAGCTCCAAGTCCCCAGCATTCACTGTTAACTACAACACCAAGGTCAATAGCTTAAAAAAACAAAAAACAAAAACCAAAAAAGCAATAAAGCCTTTTCTGGTGATCTAAAATCTAAACTCCTGATTCTGGTTCCCTTTTCTAGCACATTTAATGGTTCTCAATCCTACAGAAATCTAGCCTTTCGGTGAAATGTCTTCTAACCTTTTCTCCCTTCAGAAAGCCTCGAGGAAAGCTGTCCTTAGTCCTTACCAGAGGCGTTGTAGCCTGCACGTCCATATAGAGAGGTCGCAGCACTGCCTCTGAGGGTACAGCCGAAAGGAGAGCATTATCTACAACGGACAAGAGTAGAGGGGAAAATGAGAAACGCTGCAACTGTGGACACAAGGTACACAAGACAAAAGATAGTCAAAGTTGCTTCGAGATGAATTATGGAAGGTTGAGGTCGACTGTCAAAGGAAAAGAAAACAACGCGCGGTAAAAGACATCGAGGAAAGTTATAGACTCAGGATTCCTGCAGGGACGCGGGCGGCAATAGGGAGCAATCTTCAAACTATCCAGCGGAGTGGGATGCGCTCTAAATAGCAAAAACACTTATAAATGAAAAGCGCAGGTTCCTTGAATAGGGTCAAGGCTGGAGGAGCCTCGACTAACATCTTTAACAGTTGGCCGGGAGAGATCTGAAAGACGAGATCCCGGCTCAGACGTGGCAGGATGTAAGGGCCGAACCGAGAAAATGTTGAGAGAAAGAAACAGGAAGGTTTAGAGTCTGGGACTTGGAACCCGGCGGGCAAGCTCCGCACCAGTGCAGTGCGTAGCAGCAACAACACAACCAGTTTGGACAACCAGGGAGAACGGGCCCTAAACGGAAGGGGAGCGTACCACGCAGGCGCAATCCCCGGGTGGGCGCCGTGAACCTCGGCCGGGCCACAGTGGCAGCAGCCCGCGCCGCCCGCCTCCAAGTGGCTCGCAGCATGCTGGCAGCAGTAGAGCCCACCATCCACGGCGCTTCAAGTCCTCAGCCCACGCTCCCGGAAGTAACTGGCCTGCGCTCCGGAAGCGATCGGACGGGCGGAGAGCGCCCTCCGCCTAGCTTTCGGTGTGAGACGTAGCGCCTAGCGAACGCGGCGGCGAACGAGGTGAGGTGGGGCCGGAGCGACACGGCGTCGCGCGTACGGGATCCGGGACCGCGAGGACGGGGGTCGGGGCGTGCTACGGGCTGGCTTCGGGCCTGGGTCCTGCGGAGCCCTTCCGTGAGCCGCTGGGTGACGCCGCGACTGGCGGCCGGGCCCTCACTGTCCTAGCCCTCTCTCCCAGATGCCGGTGGCCGTGGGTCCCTACGGGCAGTCCCAGCCCAGCTGCTTCGACCGTGTGAAGATGGGTTTTGTCATGGGTTGCGCCGTGGGCATGGCGGCCGGGGCGCTGTTTGGCACCTTCTCCTGTCTCAGGTGAGCGTCGCGGGCGGGACTTCCTGGATCCCTCGGACACGAAAGCACACTTGGTTGTGGTTGGAAGCAGAGTGCTTGGGGATCTGAGCTCTAGAGTCAGAATGGCTTTCTGACTTTTGTTAGGTCAGTGACCTTAAGCAAGTTAGAGGCAGAATTTCCTCAACTGTAGTCGAGGACAGTACTTTAGCTGTACTTTTGAAAAACCAATCATATTAGTATGCTTTACATATAATCTGCCATATCGTTGTCAATCGTTATTGTTGCATGGCATTTTGACTGTGTGTTGAGCCGCTTTACTATCCTCAGAATAAGTTGTAGAGATAAAGCCGATAAACTACTGTAGTCCAGTGTCCTACCTCTGAAACAATACTGTTCTAAAGGCCATCTTCACGTTGGGATAATGTACATATATATGTTGCTATTTATTCGGTACGAGCTAAATGGCTTGCTAAATAGTGTAGTTACAAAGTTTATAAATGTAATGATGTCTGCTTTACAATTTACACATCTATTACTGTTACTCCAAGGGGGGGGGTGAAGAGTAACATTTTAAGAATGACAAACCAGGCGCACACGTTTAATCCAAACAGTCTGGATGTTGAGGCAGAAGGATCTAGGAGTTCAAGGCCAGCCTGGTGTACTGATGTGCCAGGACAGGCTCCAAAGTTACAGAGCACTGTCTCAAAAAATAAAACATGCCGGGCCGTGGTGGCACATGCCTTTAATCCCAGCACTCAGGAGGAAGAGGCAGGCGGATCTCTGTGAGTTCGAGACCAGCCTTGTCTACAAGAGCTAGCTCCAGGACAGGCTCCAAAGCTACAGAGAAACCCTGCCTGTCTCAGGGAGAAAACAAAGACAAATAAGGTAAAGGGATTGTCGCTTTTAATGCTTGACCTACTTCAACACTGATTATAGAGGAAGTTAATTCAGATCTTTCCTGTATTATTTTTTATTTATTCTGTATACAATATTCTGTGTGTATGCCTGCATGCCAGAAGAGGGCACCAGACCCCACTACAGATGGTTGTGAGCCACCATGTGGTTGCTGGGAATTGAACTCAGGACCTTTGGAAGAGCAGACAATGCTCTTAACCTCTGAGCCATCTCTCCAGCT